AAATACAAAAAGAAAATCATTTTTGCTTGTTACCATTTCTTAGCAAAATAGTTCTTCCACATATTTTTGCAAATTTTAGGTTGAACAGAATTTTTGACTAATTATATTTGATCTATATCGCATTCCTCATAATCTACAATAACAAATACCAACAGAAAATCATTTTTGCTTTTTACCATTTCTTAGCAAAATAGTTTTTTCAGATATGTATTTTTGCAAATTTCAGGTTGAACAGAATTTTTGACTAATTAAATTTGATCTATATCGCATTCCTCATAATTTATAGTAACAAATAGGAAAACAAAATCATTTTTGCCTTTTACCATTTCTTTGCAAAATGGTTTTTTTCAGGAATTATTACAAATTTCGTGTTGAGCAGAATTTCTGACCAATTAAATTTGATCTGCAATGCATTCCTCATAATCTATGATAACAAATACAGATAAAATCCAGATATTTTTACAAATTTGAGGTTGAGCAGAATTTCTGACCAATTAAATTTGATCTATATCGCATTCCTCATAATCTATTCCTCGTAACAAATACGAAAAGAAAATCATTTTTGCCTTTTACCATTTATTTGTAGAATGTTTTTTTTTTCAGGAATGATTGCAAATATTCTGATCAATTAGTTTGAAATGCATCACCTTCCTCATCACCTGTGAAACAGCTAATATTAGAAAAAAATATCATTTTTCCATTTGTTATTTCTTTGAAAGACGAATTTTTCTTGATTCTTTCAAAATAAAATAATAAAATTTCTGATCAAGTCAATTTCGTTTGAATCGTAGTTCTGATCATTTATACCAGCAAATTTAGAAAGAAATTTTTATCATTTCCCATTTCCTTGTAAAATAGTTATTTTTGGAATTTTTCAAAATTTTGGGTTGAGCAGAATTTTTGACCAATTTAATTTAATCTGCACCGCATTCCTCATCGTCTGTAGTAACAAAAACAGAAAAAAAATAATTATTATCATCTCCCATTAGTTTTGGAAAATCACTTTTTGCTTAATTTTTCAAATTTTGGGTTGAGCAGAATTTTTCATCAATTTAATTTGAACTGCATCGTATTCCTTGTCGTGTATAGTAGCAAATACAGATAGTAAATTATATTTATCATTTCTTAATTCTTTGGAAATTCAATATTTCTTCAATTTATGCAATTTTCGGATAGGGCAGAATTTCTGAATAACTTAATTTGATCTACATTGTATTTCTAATCATTTATTGCAAAAAACATAAAAAGAAAATAATTGGTGTCATCTCCCATTCTTTTAGAAATCCGTCTTTTTCACAAATTTTGCAATTTTCAGGTTGATCAGAATTCTTATTGAATTTATTTTGTATAACATTATCTTCATCGTTATATTTAAAACAACTCTTATGTAGAAAAATAGTTTTGCCATTGCTTATTTCTTTAGAAACTTAATTTTCCTTGATTTTCTGCAAATTTCGGATTGAACAGAACTTTTGATCAATTTGGTTTGATGTACATCGTATTTCTGATCATTTATAGCAGCAAATGTCAAAAGAAAATAGTTATTGCCATCTCTCATTACTTTAGAAATTCGTTTTTTTCTAGAATTTTTGTAAATTTCTGGTTGAGCAGAATTTCTCAACAAGTTAATTTAATTTACATCGTATTTCTGATTATTTATTGCAACAAACATAATAGTTGTTGTCATCTGCCATTCCTTTAAAAATTTTGCAATTTTGAGATTGATCAGAATTCTTATTCGATCTATTTTGTATTACATTATCTTCATCGTTATCTTTAAAACAACTTATATGTAGAAAAATAGTTTTGCCATTGCCTATTTTTTTAGAAACTTAATTTCCCTTGAATTTTTGCAAATTTCGGATTGAGCAGAACTTTTGATCAATTTGGTTTGATGTACATTGTATTTCTGATCATTTATAGCAGTAAATGTCAGAAGAAAATAATTATTGCCATTCCTCATTATTTTAGAAATTCGTTTTTTTCTGGAATTTTTGTAAATTTCTGGTTGAGCAGAATATCTCAACAAGTTAATTTAATATACATCGTATTTCTGATTATATTGCAACAAACATATAAAGAAAATAGTTGTTGTCATCTCCCATTCCTTTAAAAATCCGTTTTTTTCTCAAATTTTGCAATTTTGAGGTTGATCAGAATTCTTATTCAATTTATTTTGTATTATATTATCTTCATTGTTATCTTTAAAACAACTCTTATGTAGAAAATAGTTTTGCCATTGCCTATTTTTTTAGAAACTTAATTTCCCTTGAATTTTTGCAAATTTCGGATTGATCAGAACTTCCGATCAATTTGGTTTGATGTATCACTCATTATTTTGGAAAATTATTTTTTCTAGAATTTTTGCTAATTCTAGTTCTGCAAAATTTCTAAATAACTTAATTTGATATAATATAGTACTTCTGATCATTTAGAGCAGCAAAAATTTAAAAAAAATAATTACTGTTATCTCTGTTTCCTTTAGAAAACTTTTTTTTTTGAAATTTTGCAAATTTTGAGATGAGCACAATTTCTCAACAATTTAATTTGATCTACATCTCATTTCTGATCATTTATTGTAACAAACGTTAAAAGAAAATGATTGTTGTCTTCTCCCATTTCTTTTTTGAAAATTTTGCAATTTTTAGGTTGATCAGAATTTCTGTTCAATTTAATTTGTATTATATTATCTTCGTCATCTTCTTTAAAATAGGTAAAATGTAGAAAAATAGTTTTCCCATTGCCTATTTCTTTAGAAACTTAATTTTCCTTGATTTTTTGCAAATTTCGGATTGAACAGAACTTTTGATCAATTTGGTTTGATGTACATCGTATTTCTGATCATTTATAGCGGCAAAGATCAAAAGAAAATAATTTTTGCCATCCCTCATTATTTTGAAAAATCGTTCTTTCTAGATTTTTTTCAAATTTCTGGTTGATTATTCTAGAATATTCATTTCTGATCATTTATTGCAACAAACATAAAAAGAAAATAATTGTTGTCATCTCCCATTCTTTTAGAAATCCGTTTTTTTTTCACAAATTTTGCAATTTTCTGGTTGGTCAGAATTCCTACTCAATTTATTTTGTATTACACTATCTTCATTGTTATCTTTAAAACAACTCTTATGTAGAGAAATAATTTTGCCTATTTCTTTAGAAACTTAATTATCCTTGAATTTTTGCAAATTTCGGATTGACCAGAACTTCCAATCAATTTAGTTTGATGTACATCGTATTTCTGATCATTTATAGCAGCAAACATCACAAGAAAATAATTATTGTCATCCCTTATTATTTTGGAAAATCGTTTTTTCTACAATTTTTGCAAATTTTTGGTTGAGCAGAATTTCTGAATCACTTAATTTAATTTACATTGATTATTTATTACAACAAATATAAAATCAAAATAATTTTTGCCATCTCCTGTTCCTTTAAAAAACTTTTCCTGAAATTTTGCATATTGGATTGAGCAGAATTTCTGATCAATTTAGTTTAAACTGTACCATATTTTTCATTATCTCTAAAACAAATAATAAGTAAAAAAATATCGATCATAAAAAGCAAAAATAGTTGTTGTCATCTCCCATTCCTTTAGAAAACCATTTTTTTTTTCAAACTTTGTAATTTCAGGTTGATCAGAATTTCAGTTCAATTTATTTTCTATTACATTATCTTCATCGTTATCTTTAAAAGAACTTATATGTAGAAAAATAGTTTTGCCATTGTCTATTTCCTTAGAAACTTAATTTTCTTTAAATTTTTGCAAATTTTGGATTGAACAGAACTTTTGATCAGTTTGGGTTGATGTACAGGGTGGTTCAAATTCGATGTCCGAATAGGCTATCTCGGAAACTATAAGAATTAGAAAAAAAGTAGCTTATATGTCATGATCTCGTTTTTCGAGAAACTGCTAATGCCAAAAACTTCAAAGCGCTATCGTCTTTTGTTTTTCCCCTAGAGGCCAAAATTGAAAATATCGTAAAACCAACAAGTGCACTTATCTTGGTTATTATTATAGGTGGAGTATTATAATTAAGACATTATATGGACAGTTTTTTACAGAGAATTTGATGACGTAGTCAAAAAAAATGTTTCGGTTTTAGATTTTGAGATATTATGACAATTTTCGTTTTTTTTAATGGAAACAATCTCTGATTACTAAAATATAGAGTTTGACAGATTTATTTCTTATTGTTTTAGAATAAAGCTAAAAATAAACTTTTTTTAGTGTCGTCAAAGAAATTAAATTTACAGTTTCCTGTAAATTACGCAACTATAACTAAAAATTATTCCACTACAAATTTATATAAAATTCTAACATTCTACCATGTTAAACTTTTCGTAATTCATCTTTAAAAACAAGATTTTTAATTTGACAATTCAGAAAATTTTTGAATTAAAAAAATATATGAGCGCCATCTATCAATATTTTATTAAATCATTTAATAATAATATTAAATATTAATAAAAAATGTGAAATAATGCAATCTATTCCAACTTTTGTGTAAAACAAATATAAATTAAATATTATTATTTAATTAAATGTATTTGTTTCAAATATCAGAAATATGTTATTTTAATTTTTAGTTATAATTTACAGGGAACTGTAAATTTAATTTATTTTTAGCTTTATTCTAAAACAATAAGAAATAGACCTGACAAACCCTATATTTATGTAATCAGAAAAAAATAACGAATTTAATAACCGAATAATCAGTGGTTACGTCATGAAATTTAGTTTAAACTGTACCATATTTTTCATTATTTCTAAAACAGATAATAAGTAAAAAAATAGTTTTGCCATTCTCTATTTCTTTAGAAATCTCATTATTATTGAATTTTTGCAACTTTCAAGCTGTGCAGAATTTCTGATCAATTTAGTTTTTGCTCCAATAGCATTTTATGATGATGTGGCAGAATTCTTACCTCAACACATTGGAATATCATAATTTATCAATACGCAATCAAATAAATTAAATTTAAAAAAATTTTCTTACCTTGTAGTATATTCTTTATCCAATTGGAGATCATCCAACAAAGTAGACGGTGGTGGATTAGTCGGAAGAGGAGGAGGAATCTCAATCTCCTCATAAATCGGATCAGAATTAACCTTAATACTCTCATAATGATGATCATCCCCTTCAGAAACTTCAACCGCCGATTCAGCCAAAAGCTCATAAAATTTCGACCTCGCGCAAAGCTCCTCCTCCGTAACCGAACTCCGATTACTATTATCAGTATAACAATCCGATCCGGGATCCATAATTTCATATTGCGTAGAAGAACTATGCTCAGAACCTTTATCATCATCAAACCCACCCCCATCATGATTTCGCAACTTCGTAAATGAATCCTCGATCAATTGCGAAACGTGATTATTTTCGAAATGTTCCGAAGAACTCAAGAGGGAGTCGTTTAAGAAATTCGCAACCAAATCGTTTGAATCGATGATTTTTTTGGTGCGAGGTCGACGCGAATTTTCCGATTTTCCGCAAACGTGAGGAACTAAATTTCTTTTTACAGCTTCAACTGGGTCGTTTAAGATTTGATGTATCATTGGTAACTCATTTTCAATCATTAAACTATCAGATTCTGGGTTTATTTGTAATCCTATTTCTTTGGGTTCAAGATTTTTTAATGTAACATCTTTTGATGTATCATCTTTTGATGTAACATCTTTTAACGAAACATCTTTTGATGTAACATCTTTTAATGAAACATCTTTTAAAATCTCTTTTGTTGGTGGTAATTTAGAATTAAAATCACCACAAATATACACAGTACTACTTCGTTTTTCTGGAGTTTCAATGTTGATTATTCCGGAATCTTTCACAACAACCGATGATTGATAATGAGAGATATCATCGCTAACATTAACGGTGCAATAACAATCATCTCCGTTAATCATTATCGATGTTTTTCCTTGATTATTATCGGAATATAAATAATTATAATTTTGTAAATTCTCTTGGAATTCATTTTTTATTTTTAATTTATGAACTTGGGGGGTTTCCTCGATCGAGTTTATGCGCACGATCGTTTTGTTGGGGATATCTTCGATAATTGGTTGATTTATTATTGTTAAATTCTTGTGGTTGTTGCTTCGTTTTCTTGGTGGAGCTGATGGAGGAGTTTCAAACTCAATTTTAGATGTAACATTTTTATTTATTAAATTCTCTTCGTTTATTAATTTATCGAGGTTCTCCATATTTTTTTTGATAATTATTTCGTTCGTTTTGGTTTCTTTCTTAATTACTTCTTCATCTCGTTTTCTTTGAAACTCAATTTCTTCTTGTTTTTTTCTCTCAATTTCTTCAACTCTCCTCTTTTCAAACTCTTTTTTTAACATTTCTTCTTGTTTCTTTAATTCCTCAATTTTTTTCTTCTCAATTTCTTCTTTTCTCTTATTTTCCTCAATCCTTTTAAATTCCTCAACCTTCTTATTTTCCTCAATTAACTTTCTTTTCTCGTTCTCATCAAAATCATTTTCTTGAAACACAATATTAATAACATTCTTTGGTGATTCTTTTTGAGGGATTTCAGGTGGTGGATGTTGTGGTGGTGGTGGTAAAGGAGGGGGTCCTCTTGGTCGAATCTTATCGAAACCTTTTAATTTCGCCAAATCGACCCCATCTAATTTTTCGAGATCCCCGGAGAAAATTTCGCGCGAATCACCATGATGATAAATTTTATTCCTCAACGCCATGGTATCATTAAAAATCGGTGTAATAACCTTTAATTCTTGGCTAACTCTTTCGCTCTTCGAACGCCGTAATTGACATAAATTACTCGTTGAAGAGGATGAATCGGTTTCGGAAGAAATTTCATCGTCGTTTTCGTAAATGACGGAATCGTTTTGTACTAAAAATTGTACCTTTTTTCTCGGGGTTATTACGTTGGAGGTGGTCGCCTTGACTGGTAATGGTAAGTAAAAGTTTGACCCACTTTTCGCGGATGAAGAAGAAGAAGTTATCTGGTCGCTGGTGCCATCGGTGTCACTGAAAGTCGTTGAAGGTTTTTTTAAAATCGATTTGAAACGGTAATCACTTTCGTTTTCAACTTTGTTCGGTGTCATCGGGGTTTTCAAAATTGTTTTTTTCACCTCCACGTCTTCGTAATTATTCTCCACAACTTTATTAGGTTTAATCCGAATTCTTTGCCCGTTCACCATCGTAACACTCGAATCTTGATCCAATCCCATTAATTCATAAGGATTTACATTGCATTCCAAAATCGATTTCCTCCCAACCGTCCCAAATTTAACCGAATTCGAAGATTTTGATCTCAAATTGTTTTTAACCCCATCTTGTTTAGTTTTACTCGGCGAAACTGAGCGAGCTCGAAATTGACTTGATGAGCTATCAGATACGCTCATCCTCGATCGCCTCATTAAATCATAAGGATCCGGTGTTAAAATCGATGGGCGCGATTTCGAAGATGCCCTCACGGTTCCTCCAACAACACATTGAGTGGGTAAAGTTGGAGATGTGGGATAACACCGCACCGTTCCAAACTTTGATTCAACCGTTGCTAAAGGTATCCGATTACCTTTGCATTTCTTGCAAACGCTGTGGGTCTTCTTCGACGATCTCTTCGTCCCGTTTAAATAATCTTGGCAGGAACACAACACCAAAGCTGGTGCCAACACCAATCCGGGAGCTCGAACGCTCCCGTATAACCACGGATCTGCGTAACGCATCGAACGTGATAAAGAACTTTCGGGTTCCTCTTTGTGTGTCCAAGATTGACCAGGAATTGGAGTCTGAAAATAAAAGAGAAAGAAAATTAGAAACGCATTCGAGAAATCGAAAATTATTGAGGAGGGCGTAATAAGTTTTTCTTGGTACTTAAAAAGTAAATTATTGAGATGTTTTATGGTTTTATTTGATAATAAAATAAAGTGGTGTGACGACTATCAAATTAGAAAGTAAAATTCTAACGACTTAAATTTATTGGAATTATTTTAAATTTGTAACAATCGTATCTCAAAAACTAAATAGGATATTAACATGAAATAAGAAAGAATTTAAAGCTAAATTAATAAAGATTAATTGAGCCAAAAATTATTTCTTAGTTTCCATAAACATGGTTATTATGATTTTTTGAATCCTACTCTGCACTTTAACAACTATACCGGGTGTAACAGGATCATGGTATCTCCTTTAGTTTTGAAGATAATTGATTCAAATTTGGGACATCCTATACACATGATAAGAGACACTTTTTGACATACAAGTAATTTTTTTTTCAATTCCGGTTTCGCCGGAAGTGACACTAACTTTAGATTTTTAAATGGAACACCCTGTATATTATTACACTTCTGAAATTTGAATAATTTTCTGAAACCAATGGTAAAAATACCAAATTACATGATTTATGTGCACATAAAGTTCATCAAAATGACGGAATTTAGATTTTTCTAGCATTAGACGGGTTAATTAGAATAAATTAAAAATTAAACCTAAATTCTAAAAAATATTGACGTTTGAAATGTCACTTATCATTGGATTCAGAAAATTATTCAGATTTCAAAAATGTAATAATATACAGGTGTTCCATTTAAAAATCTAAAGTTAGTGTCACTTCCGGCAAAACCGGAATTGAAAAAAAAATCAATTCTATGTCAAAAAGTGTCTCTTATCATGCGTATAGGATGCCCCAAATTTTAATCAATTATCTTCAAAACTAAAGGACATACGGGGGACAATGTCAAAAAATCATAACAACCAGGTTTGTGGAAACTAAGAAATTATTCTTAGCTCAATTAATCTTTATTAATTTAGATTTAAATCGCTTCTTATTTCGTATTGATATCTTATTTAGTTTTTGAGATACGACTTTTTAAAATGTTATTCACCCAAATGTTATAGTCGAACATGCAAATTTGAATTCAAAAAGTCATAACAACCAGGTTTATGGAAACAAAGAAATTATTTTTGGCTCAATTAATCTTTATTAATTTTCGTTTAAATCACTTCTTATTTCTTGTTGATATCTCATTTAGTTTTTGAGATACGATGTTTTAAAATTTTATTCACTCAAATTTTATAATTAAACGTGCAAAGTCAAATTCAAAAAATCATAACATCCATGTTTATGGAAACAAAGAAATTATTTATGGCTCAATTAATCTTTAATAATTTTGCTTTAAATCGCTGCTTATTTCTTGTTGATATCTCATTTGGTTTTTGAGATACAATTTTTTTTAATTTAATTATTTCCGCCTAAGTTATTAACTTAAAGGTATAACTAAAAAAATCATTGTTATCAAATTACTGACGATTTCAAATTTATTTATTTGGTATTAAAACTAGATTAAATTTGCGTTAAAATGTTTTTTATTTCATGTTGATATCTCAATTCGTTATTGAGATACGATTCTTTAAAGTTTGATTCTCCTAAAAATAATAGTCAGACATGCAGAGTCAACTTCAAAAAATCATAACAACCTTTTTTATGGAAACAAAGAAATTATTTATAGCTCAATTAATCTTTAATAATTTTGCTTTAAATCGCTTCTTATTTCTTGTTGATATCTCATTTAGTTTTTGAGATACGATTTTTTTTAATTTAATCATCTCCACCTAAGTTATTAACTTAGAGGTATAACTAAAAAATCATTGTTACCAAATTACTGACGATTTAAAATTTATTTGTTTGGTATTAAAACTAGATTAAATTTGCGTTAAAATGTTTTTTATTTGATGTTGATATCTCAATTCGTTATTGAGATACGATTCTTTAAAGTTTGATTCTCCTAAAAATAATAATCAGACATGCAGAGTAAAATTCAAAAAATCATAACAACCATGTTTATGGAAACTAAGAAATAATTTTTGGCTCAATAAGTCTGTATTAATTTAGCTTTAAATCGCTTCTTATTTCTTGTTAATATCTCATTTAGTTTTTGAGATACGATTTTTTTTAATTTAATCAATTCAACCTAAATTGTTGAAGTATTAGGTTAGAGGTATAATTAAAAAATCATTGTTACCAAATTAACGAAAATTAAAAATTTATTTTTTAAGTATAAAAACTAGATTATATTTGGGTTAAAATGCTTTTTATTGCATATTGATATCTCAATTCGTTATTGAGATACGATTCTTTAAAGTTTAATTCTCCTAAATACCGGGTGTAACAGAATCATGGTACGCCCCCCGTATGTCCTTTAGTTTTGAAGATAATTGATTAAAATTTGGGGCATCCTATACGCATGATAAGAGACACTTTTTGACATAGAATTAATTTTTTTTTCAATTCCGGTTTCGCCGGAAGTGACACTAACTTTAGATTTTTAAATGGAACACCCTGTATATTATTACACTTTTGAAATTTGAATAATTTTCTGAAACCAATTATGTAATTATTATATTATTTTTAGTTTTCGTAAACATGGTTGTTATGATTTTTTAAATCCTACTCTGCTCTTTTAACAACTACAGTGCGTTTCAAAAGTAACGGATAAATTCGATAAAATTATTATAAACAATTTATGAAAAAATCGATGAAACGGGTCTAAAGATTTAAATTTTTAAGTGTATATTTTAAATTTTTTCCGCCATTTTTAAACGAGTTATGATGTCATCGAAGTTTTTTTTAAATGGAACACCCCATTTTTTATATCAGAATTTGAAAGAGAATTTTTTTCTAAATTATGTGCAATAAATATTAATATCGGTTACATAAGAAAATTTTCGAGAAAAATTAATTTAAAGTTTTATTATTTCCCATTCATTTGATATAAAAAATAGCAGTTGGTTGCCATGGTTACGCACGGCTACTACTATTTTTTATATCAACAAGCTATTGCTACTTTTGTATCTTAAGTACAATAGTAATAATAATTAATTTAAATAAATAATTCAATTCATATTGAATTTTGACACTTGAAAATGTCACATCAAAACAATTGGTTGCCATGGTTACGCTAGCAGTGCGTAACCATGGCAACCAACTGCTATTTTCTATATCAAATGAATGAGAAATAATAAAACTTTAAATTAATTTTTCTCGAAAATTTTCTTATGTAACCGATATTAATATTTATTGCACATAATTCAGAAAAAAATTCTCTTTCAAATTCCGATATAAAAAATGGGGTGTTCCATTTAAAAAAAACTTCGATGACGTCATAACTCGTTTAAAACTGGCGGTCAACAATTTAGGTTAAATAGATTAAATTAAAAAAAATCGTATCTCAAAAACTAAATGAGATATCAACAAGAAATAAGAAACGATTTAAAGCTAAATTAATACAGACTTATTGAGCCAAAAATTATTTCTTAGTTTCCATAAACACGGATGTTATGATTTTTTGAACCCAACTCTGCGCTTTTAACAACTATATTTAGGAGAATCAAACTTTAAACAATCGTATCTCAATAACGAATTGAGATATCAACATGGAATAACAAACATTTTAACCCAAATATAATCTAGTTTTTATACTCAAAAAACAAATTTTTAATTTTCATTAAATTGGCAACAATGATTTTTTAATTATACCTCTAAATTAATACTTTGACAATTTAGATGGAATTGATTAAATTAAAAAAAAATCGTATCTCAAAAACTAAATGAGATATCAACAAGAAATAAGAATCGATTTAAAGCTAAATTAATAAAGATTAATTGAGCCAAGAATAATTTCTTTGTTTAAATAAATGTGGTTGTTATGATTTTTTAAATCCGACATTGCACGTTTGACTATAAAATTTTAAAACATCGTATCTCAAAAACTAAATGAGATATCAACAAGAAATAAGAAGCGATTTAAAGCGAAATTAATAAAGATTAATTGAGCCGGAAATAATTTCTTTGTTTCCATAAACCTGGCTGTTATGATTTTTTGAATCCAATTTTGCATGTTTGACTATAACGTTTGGGTGAATAAAATATAAAAAAATCGTATCTCAAAAACTAAATGAGATATCAACAAGAAATAAGAAGCGATTTAAAGCAAAATTAATAAAGATTAATTGAACCAAGAATAATTTCTCTGTTTCCATAAACCTGATTGTAACGATTCTTTGAATCCGACTTTACACGTTTAACTATAAAATATGAGAGAATAAAATTTGAAACCATCATATCTCAAAAACTAAATAAGATATCAACAAGAAATAAGAAGCGATTTAAAACAAAATTAATAAAGATGTATTGAGCCACAAATAATTTCTTAATTTCCATAAACTTAAATAATATACTAAAAAGATATACTAGAAAAAACTTCTTTAACTTGCTTTTATTTAAATATATATCGAGACTAGTTTCGAGGTTACACCCTCATCTTCAGTCGAAACTAGCAAAAACGAAAAACACATTAAAATATTAAAATAAAACAGTTTAAAGAACTTACAGTCAAAATTTTTAAAGCAAGAAAACTTCTTTAAAAGGTATGAACATGTTAAAATTTAAAAATAAATAATCACAACAAAAACATACACAATATAACTCAAAATGTAAAATTAACGTACGACATCAAAATATATTAAAAAATTTTGTCAAAAACGAAAAGATGCCGACGGTGACACGAGAACAAAGAAACTGGGAAAAAGACTTGAGCGGGTTTTAAACCTGCATTGAACTACCGGGGCAAATAAACTTGGTATATAATTGTTTTATGATCTCTCAGAGACATGAAAATAGGTTTATCTACGACTGCTTAAATAAGTCATCATTACCGCACTTATTTGAGGTGATTTGAGTTACGTAATGAAGTTCATTACAGCACTGGTTTCATTACGTAACGCATTTTTAGCCTAATTAGAACAGATTTAATTTATTGAAACGAGGAACAATACAAAAGAAAAAGTGCTATCTACTTACAGAGAAACAATACTATTTATTATAAACATTAATTGTTATGTTTGTACATTTCAAAACACTTATTGCAGATGAGTAAACATGTTGTTGAAACTGACAATTTAAAATTGTCAACAATCATTTCAAAATATTTTTATAAATGTCAAATAGACTTTTTTAAAGAAATTGATTTTTTAGTAATTTTTAGCAGTCGTAGATAAAATGCTGTATATCACACGTGGGCTAGAGCATAATTACAGTACTCGTGTGATTACACACACGTTCTACACACTCGTACAGTAATTATGTTTCTAGCCCACTTGTAATATAAATAACTATTATTATACAATTGAAGCTGATCATTTAATAATTCGCAGTTATTGTTATTTTCGTGTTTGTTAATTTTTAAAATTTCGAGCAGATCTAACCTATAACCTTTTTCACATTTATGTAGAAGTTTTATATTATTATAGTCTATCTTGTGGCCTGTTTCAATGTGATGTTTAAATACATTGGAATTATCTTTAGTTTTCTGTTCTCGTATACGAGTCTCCAATTTACGCCCTGTTTGCCCAATATAAACTGAGTTACAATTGGAACATCCAATTGAATATATGCCACATTCTTTTAAAATATCTTTGTTCTTCATATGGTAGTTGAATAAAAGTTGAAGAATCGTATTATTATTCAAAAATGCCAAGGAAAGATTATATTTATAAAAAATGTGTTTTGCCTAAAAAGTGACTTTATTGAAAGGAATGGGCTTATATTTCAAGTTATTTAGAGTTTTAACATAAAGTGGGTCTCTTTGTTGCTGTATTTTATGAAATAATCTATTAATGATATGTTTTGGGAATTTATTATTATATGCAANGCAAATTTAAATCCGGCTCTCTTGTTGGGAGCTTGTTTAATAGCCGTGCGTAACCATGGCAACCAAATGTTTTGATTTAAAATTCCAAGTGTCAAAATTCGATTTGAAACAGTGTATTGTGCGTTAATGAGATTATTTTGAGTAGTATTGTGGAGTTTGTTGTGTTAATTGTTGTTATTCGTTGTTATTTGTTGCTATTCATCGCTATTCGTTGTTAACTTTTTTTGTTGTTATTTGATTTTTTATTTATTGACTGTTCGATAAGTAAGAAATTAATAATGACGCTTACTGAAACTGAAATAATCGAAGTTCTTACGATGATTGGTTTCGGAAATAGAGTCCGAACGTTGTTTAAGGAAAAACATCCAAACCGTACTCCAATATCACTATCGACAATAAGTCGAATTGAGAGTAAATTTCGCGAACTTGGTCATGTACGAGATAAACCTAAGACCGGACCATTGGCCTTAAATGAAGACCGTCAATTGGATGTCCTGTTAAGTGTAGAGGAAAATCCGCATTCAAACATATCCAATATTGCTGCAAATTTAAATACATCTAGAAGCACAATATCAAGATTTCTTAAGAAAAAAAAATATCACCCCTACAAAGTACACTTGGTGCATGAGCGTTCCGATGACGATTTTGATCGACGCGTGCAATTCTGCGAATCCGGAATTTATTAAAAACATTCTATTCTCCGATGAAGCAACATTTTGTTTAAATGGCACTGTCCATAAGCAAAACTGCCGTTATTGAGCAGTAACATTTGAATTAATGATGATTATTGCTTTCTATCGTTCATGTTATCTTTGTAAACTTAAAGTTTAAAAAATATGTTTAATTTTTGATATTTTATTTTCTGTTTGCGTTTTTTTTAATGCGTTTGATGCAACAAGCTATTGCTACTTTTGTATCTCAAGTACAATTGAGTACAATAGTAATAATAATTAATTATTTAAATAAATAATTCAATTCAAATTGAATTTTGACACTTGAAAATGTCAAATCAAAACAATTGGTTGCCATGGTTACGCACTGCTACTGCTATTTTCTATATCAAATGAATGAGAAATAATAAAACTTTAAATTAATTTTTCTCGAAAATTTTCTTATGTAACCGATATTAATATTTATTGCACATAATTCAGAAAAAAATTCTCTTTCAAATTCCGATATAAAAAATGGGGTGTTCCATTTAAAAAAAACTTCGATGACGTCATAACTCGTTTAAAAATGGCGGAAAAAATTTAAAATATACACCAAAAAATTGCAAAAAATTTAAATCTTTAGACCCGTTTCAGCGATTTTTTCATAAATTGTTTATAATAATTTTATCGAATTTATCCGTTACTTTTGAAACGCACTGTATATGGGGANAAACCTGGTTGTTATGATTTTTTGACTTTGCACGTTTGACTATAAAATTTGAGTAAATAAAATTTTAAAACATCGTATCTCAAAAACTAAATGAGATATCAATACGAAATAAGAAGCGATTTAAAGCTAAATTAATAAAGATTAATTGAGCTAAGAATAATTTCTTAGTTTCCATAAACCTGGTTGTTATGATTTTTTGACTTTGCACGTTTGACTATAAAATTTGAGTAAATAAAATTTTAAAACATCGTATCTCAAAAACTAAATGAGATATCAATACGAAATAAGAAGCGATTTAAAGCTAAATTAATAAAGATTAATTGAGCTAAGAATAATTTCTTAGTTTCCATAAACCTGGTTGTTATGATTTTTTGACTTTGCACGTTTGACTATAAAATTTGAGTAAATAAAATTTTAAAACATCGTATCTCAAAAACTAAATGAGATATCAATACGAAATAAGAAGCGATTTAAAGCTAAATTAATAAAGATTAATTGAGCTAAGAATAATTTCTTAGTTTCCATAAACCTGGTTGTTATGATTTTTTGACTTTGCACGTTTGACTATAAAATTTGAGTAAATAAAATTTTAAAACATCGTATCTCAAAAACTAAATGAGATATCAATACGAAATAAGAAGCGATTTAAAGCTAAATTAATAAAGATTAATTGAGCTAAGAATAATTTCTTAGTTTCCATAAACCTGGTTGTTATGATTTTTTGACTTTGCACGTTTGACTATAAAATTTGAGTAAATAAAATTTTAAAACATCGTATCTCAAAAACTAAATGAGATATCAATACGAAATAAGAAGCGATTTAAAGCTAAATTAATAAAGATTAATTGAGCTAAGAATAATTTCTTAGTTTCCATAAACCTGGTTGTTATGATTTTTTGACTTTGCACGTTTGACTATAAAATTTGAGTGAATAAAATTTTAAAACATCGTATCTCAAAAACTAAATGAGATATCAATACGAAATAAGAAGCGATTTAAAGCTTAATTAATAAAGATTAATTGAGCCAACAATAATTTCTTAGTTTCAATAAACCTGGTTGTTATGATTTTTTGAATCTGACTTTGCTCGTTTTATTATAAAATTTGAGTGAATAAAATTTTAAAACATCGTATCTCAAAAACTAAATGAGATATCAACAAGAAATAAGAAGCGATTTAAAATACAATTAATAAAGATTAATTGAGCCAAAAATAATTTCTTAATTTTCATAAACCTGGATGTTATGATTTAAGAGAATATTTGTGGTTATCAGAATTAAGATATGCTAATGAAATAAAGAACATTTTAAAGCAAAATTAATCTAGTTTTTAAATGAAGTCATACCCTGAAACCGTAGTTTGCGTAATCCTCTTCCGGTGGTGAAATAGGATAACGTCGCATTGCATGGCTAACTGCTGTAGCCATGTGGATACAGATCTATCTTCATAATCCCTAGAAATAAATAAAACAAATAATGAATCAGCCAATATTTATAATTAAACAAGAAAATTTCTTAGAAATTTAATTAAACATGACATCTTTTTGATAACATAATCAAATATTTTCAAAATATGACGCGTTTTAATATAAAAATGAAAAAAAATTTCATTTCCTTAGGTAGAAGTTGAAACTAGAGAAATTTAATTTTCAACTTTTATGGGTTGATGTGGGTAAGTGTGCCGGTCGTCTCTCTTACAAGAGAAGCCATACCAAGACGACATTGGCAGTGAATTAGAGATTTTCCTGCGGGGGTCGGCGCACCTGCTCAAATAAGAAAGTGAATCTAGATGGGCGCCTGAAAACCGAAAATTCTCCGTATGTACCAGCTCCTTATACTTTCGCCTTTCTGTCAGCAGCGGGAGCTTGACAGAGTTTCGATCACTTTCTCGCCGTGAATCTTTCACGATGAAATTGGGACATTAAACTCATAAATTTAACTCGATAAAAAAGAAAAATAAAATTGGTTTGAAATCTGATTCGAAAGAAAACTTTTTAACTTTTATTAGTTACGTTTCTAATTTTTTTTCATTTACTGCTCTAAATCTTATCTTAATAAGATCTAAGCTTTTAAACACAGTTAGATTAGATTCGTAAGATTGCATTATTTTAAATTTGTACCTCGATTTTATTTGTTTATAGAATGTTATTTGCTTTTACCATAGTTAATAGTTAATCCTGTCGTGACAGACGTGCCTTACAATTACTCTGGCATTTACAAGAATTGTATACCATCATCTTTAAAGGTCAATCAATCCAAGTAGTAGACCGGGTCAAGGAAATAAATAATAAGCATATTTCATTGTTATTGTGGTGAATAGAAACTTCCGGGTGAACATATTACATTAATATCTTAATTTATATTTTTAAATTTATATTTATCGTTCCTATTTTTCCTTTAGATCTTTTACTTTCTTTCAAAGCTGTAATTTTTTTATCTGTGTTTACCTTAGATAAGAGAAATCGATCCCAAATCATGGCGTTCGTTGCGTCTCTCGCGTTTACAATTCTCTTAATAAATTATTCATTATCATTAAATTGTGACAATGTTGAAGTTTGCAGAGAAACACAACATCCGAATTGCGAACATTGCATACGAACCCATCCATGCTGCAGCTGGTGTTCAGATATGGTAAGTAAAATGACCTATTTTCCTCGTATCGTTATTACACCAGCTTTACTTTACCTTCATTTTTACTAAACTTAACAATGCGGTGAGATAATATCATAATCTTCTTAATTACGCTCAAAGATTTTAAAAAAAATAGGTTATTTTAGAAAGTATTGTTTCAGAACTTTGAAAAAGTGAGATGCGACACAAACGAAAATTTAAAACAATTAAATTGTTCAAGCAAGTTTATATTCGACGCGGGAAACTCGATGATAATATCGGAGATGCGAAAACCATTTTCTAACGCAGATGAAGTATTAGGAAACCCCGCAGTACAAATTGATCTGCAAGAAATAGATATATCACTAAGATTACGTAAATTAAAAAAAAAACGGTTTTATAAAGTTCGATTAATATCACAATAACCAAGTAATTAACCCATTTTAACTAATCATAGTATTAAAATAATATGTAGCATAGAAAAAACCCCTAATCGACACTTAACACAACGTTAATCAAGCGTTAACTTAGATTGAGTTCACAACAAATCAAAATTGGATTAAACTTAAATCGAATCCTTTCTTAGCAATTAATTTAAAACGTTAACACTTCAATAAGTTAATTAAGTAAGCAAATCAACGATTAGTGTGGCGTTAAGCGAACGTTATGTCTGATTTAGCATTATGTAAAGTTATAAGTAAACTTAATTCGTTGTTTTCGACCTTTTTACGTCACATTTCATCTAAATGTATGTCATAAAAAATAAATCGAATGCTAATCAACTCATGTTGACGTTAATCGAGAGTTAACTCTTAGTTAATATTCGAACGAATTAAAAATGAATTTTATAAAATCTTAATTCATCGTTCCACTATAGCAGTGGATTATGTTATTTATAAATAATAAATGGTAATAATTGGGTCCAATCTTTTTATGGATCTAGTCTTTATGGTCCATTACTAAGGTTTTATGTATAAAAAATATTTTCCCATCGCTTTTAGTTTATGAGTTATGATTGAGTTAATTTACGAAAATCAACAATTTTGATGTTTAATCGGTTTAGAGCTTATAAATTAAAAATGGTAATAATTGGTTTCAATCTTTTTATGAATCTAGTCTTTATGGTCCATTACTAAGGTTTTATGTATAAAAAATATTTCCCCATCGCTTTTAGTTTATGAGTTATAATTAAGTTAATTTTCGAAAATCAACAATTTTGATGTTTAATCGATTTAGAGCTTATAAATAATAAACCACTGCACTATAGATATCATGATGATCATGTAGCACGATTTTTATAAAGGTCGATTAGCATCAGGTTAGCTTTAAACAAACGATAATCGATGCAAAAATTTTAAAAGCAAAGTTAACTGTTTGCTAACTCAACATTGTTAACATATTTAATCAAAAATTGATAGTGTCAAAAGATGATACTTAAAAAGATGATGCTCATTGATACTTAAATTGATGTTAATCGAGCGTTGACACAGGTTGCGTCAATAAATCAAACTAATGTATTATAAAACTTAAATCGAATCTTTGTTAACAATTAATGTAACGTTAACATTGATTTAGTTTTATAACCAATTGATTAGCGTAACATTAACTTTAATAAGTTAATTAAAAACAAACTTATAGGATTAATGAACTTTAACATAACATGTTTCATCAAAAATTTAATAAAATTTAACGATAGATTAATCAAGCCCTAATCGACATTTAACGTAACGTTAATGGAGAGTTAAGCTTGATTTGGGTCACTATAAATCAAAAATGAGTGTTACAAAACTTTGGTAACTCTAAATATGAAACTGTTTTATAAAACTTAATTAGCGTTACGTTAACTTCAAGTCACTGTTAGCCAATCGCAACATTACGTCACATTCTATTAATGTTGTCAAACCATGATTTTAAGCGAATGGATGTTAATCATAAGGTTAATATAATTAGCAAGATTGGTTTAGTTCATTAATCGATGCTTAACGTCGATTAAACTCGGTAACTTTAATCAAGCATCGTTAATCTTCTTTTTGACAATAAGTTATTCAATAGTTAGTGAAATAGTAATCTTAAAACTCAGCATTTTGGTAATATTAGGTGAAAAATGGGTTTAATCTTAATCAAGGTCTTTGAGAGGTTTTGCCTTAATCACGATTTTTATAAAGCTTGATTACCGTTACGTTAACTTTAAAAGAACGCTATTCGATGGTATTTTTTTCCGCCGTCTTTAGTTTTTGATTTATAATCTAATTTCGTATCGAAAATCAACAACTTTGAAGTTTTGGAGATTTTCACTTTTTAATTAGATTATGTCTATAGCGACATTAAATCTGGTTATGGATTATGTCTTTTTGGTTCATTGTGGACTATTTATTTTCAAAGTATCCTTCTCCATCATCTTTAGTTCTCGAGTTATGATCGATTTCAGTAATGAAAAGCGACAACTTTAACATTTTGGATATTTCCACGTTCTAACTAGATTATGGTTATAACCACATTGAATTTAGTTATGGATTATGTCTTTTTGGTTCATTATTTACTATTTATTTCCAAAGTATCCTTCTCCATCATATTTAGTTCTTGAGTTATGATCGATTTCATTAACGAAAAGTAGCAACGTTATAATTTTGGGGATTTCCACTTTCTAACTAGATTATGGCTACAACTACACTGAATCTGGTTATGGATTATCTTTCTTTGGTTCATTGTGAACTATTTATTTCCAAAGTATCCTTCTCCATCATCTTTAGTTCTTGAGTTATGATCGATTTCAGTAACGAAAAGTAGCAACGTTATAAATTTGGGGATTTCCACTTTCTAACTAGATTATGGCTATAACTACACTTAATCTGATTATGGATTAAGTCTTTTTGCTTCAGGATAAACTATTTATCTCCAAAGTATTCTTCTTCATCATCTATAGTTCTTGAGTTATGATCTATTTCAGTAACGAAAAGCGACAACTTTAACATTGTGGAGATTTCCACGTTCTAACTTAATTATGGTTATAACTACACTGAATCCGGTTATGGATTATGTCTTTTTGCTTCATGATGAACTATTTATCTCCAAAGTATTCTTCCCCATCATCTTTAGTTCTTGAGTTATGATCGATTTTAGTAACAAAAAGCGACAACTTTAACATTTTAGAGATTTCCACGTTCTAACTTAATTATGGTTATAACTACACTGAATCTGGTTATGGATTATGTCTTTTTGGTTCATTGTGAACTATTTATTTCCAAAGTATCCTTCTCCATCATCTTTAGTTCTTGAGTTATGATCGATTTTAGTAATGAAAAGTAGCAACGTCATAAATTTAGGGATTTCCACTTTCAAACTAGATTATGGCTATAACTATACTTAATCTGGTTATGGATTATGTCTTTTTGTTTCATGGTGAACTATTTATCTCCAAAGTATTCTTCTCCATCATCGTTAGTTCTTGAGTTATGATCAATTTCAATAATGAAAAGCAGCAACGTTATAATTTTGGGGATTTCCACATACCTACTAAATTATGGCTATAACTACACTGTATCTGGTTATGGATTATGTCTTTTTGGTTCATTGTGGACTATTTATTTTCAAAGTATCCTTCTCCATCATCTTTAGTTCTCGAGTTATGATCGATTTCAGTAACGAAAAGCAACAACTTTAATATTTTGAAGATTTCCACGTTCTAACTAGATTATGGCTATAACTACACTGAATCTGGTTATGGATTAAGTCTTTTTGCTTCAGGATAAACTATTTATCTCCAAAGTATTCTTCTTCATCATCTTTAGTTCTTGAGTTATGATCGATTTCAGTAATGAAAAGCGACAACTTTAACATTTTGGAGAATTCCATGTTCTAACTAAATTATGGTTATAACTACACTGAATTTAGTTATGGAATATGTCTTTTTACTTCACAGTGAACTATTTATCTCCAAAGTATTCTTCTCCATCACCTTTAGTTCTTTAGTTATGATCGATTTCATTAACGAAAACCAGCAACGTTATAATTTTAGGGATTTCCGCTTTCTAGTTAGATTATGGCTACAACTACACTGAATCTGGTTATGGATTATGTCTTTTTGGTTCATTGTGAACTATTTATTTCCAAAGTATCCTTCTCCATCATCTTTAGTTCTTGAGTTATGATCGATTTTAGTAATGAAAAGTAGCAACGTCATAAGTTTAGGGATTTCCACTTTCTAACTAGATTATGGCTATAACTACACTGAATCTGGTTATGGATTAAGTCTTTTTGCTTCAGGATAAACTATTTATCTCCAAAGTATTCTTCTTCATCATCTTTAGTTCTTGAGTTATGATCGATTTCAGTAATGAAAAGCGACAACTTTAACATTTTGGAGAATTCCATGTTCTAACTAAATTATGGTTATAACTACACTGAATCCGGTTATGGATTATGTCTCTTTGCTTCATGGTGAACTATTTATTTCCAAAGTATTCTTCCCCATCATCTTTAGTTCTTGAGTTATGATCGATTTTAGTAACAAAAAGCGACAACTTTAACATTTTAGAGATTTCCACGTTCTAACTTAATTATGGTTATAACTACACTGAATCTGGTTATGGATTATGTCTTTTTGGTTCATTGTGGACTATTTATTTCCAAAGTATCCATCTTCATCATCTTTAGTTCTTGAGTTATGATCAATTTCAGTAGCGAAAAGCGACAACATTAACATTATGAAGATTTTTTCTTCCTAACTAGATTATGTCTATAACTACACTGAATCCGGTTATAGATTATGTCTTTTTGGTTCATTGTGAACTATTTATTTCCAAAGTATCCTTCTCCATCATCTTTAGTTCTTGAGTTATGATCGATTTCAGTAACGAAAAGTACCAACGTTATAAATTTAGGGATTTCCACTTTCCAACTAGATTATGGCTATATCTACACTTAATCTGGTTATGGATTATGTCTTTTTGCTTCATGGTGAACTATTTATTTCCAAAGTATTCTTCTCCGCCATCTTTAGTTCTTGAGTTATGATCGATTTCAGTAACAAAAAGCGATAACTTTAACATTTTGGACATTTCCATGTTCTAACTAAATTATGGTTATAATTACACTGAATCTGGTTATGGATTACGTCTTTTTGGTTCATTGTGAACTATTTATTTCCAAAGTATCCTTCTCCATCATCTTTAGTTCTTGAGTTATGATTGATTTCAGTAACAAAAAGGGACAACTTTAACATTTTGGAGATTTCCATGTTCTAACTAAATTATGGTTATAACTACACTGAATCTGGTTATGGATTATGTCTTTTTGGTTCATTGCGGACTATTTATTTCTAAAATATCCTTCTCCATCATCTTTAGTTCTTGAGTTATGATCGATTTCAGTAACGAAAAGCGACAACTTTAACATTATGGGGATTTCCTCTTCCTAACTACATTATGTCTATAACTGCACTGAATCTGGTTATGGATTATGTCTTTTTGGTTCATGATCAACTATTTATCTCCAAAGCATTCTTCTCCATCACCTTTAGTTCTTCAGTTATGATCGATTTCAGTAACGAAAAGCAACAACTTTAACATTTTGGATATTTCCACGTTCTAACTAGATTATGGTTATAACTACACTGAATCTGGTTATGGATTATGTCTTTTTGCTTCATAGCGAACTATTTATCTCCAAAGCATTCTTCTCCATCACCTTTAGTTCTTGAGTTATGATCGATTTCATTAACGAAAAGCAGCAACGTTATAATATTGGAGATTTCCACTTTATAACTAGATTATGGTTATAACTACACTGAATCTGTTTATGGATTATGTCTTTCTGCTTCATGGTGAACTATTTATCTTCAAAGTACTCTTCTCCACCATCTTTAGTTCTTTAGTTATGATCGATTTTAATAACGAAAAGCGACAACTTTAACATTTTGGGGATTTCCACGTTCTAACTAGATTATGGTTATAACTACACTGAATGTGGTCATGGATTATATCTTTTTGGTTCGTTAGAAACAATTTTTGTCTAAAATATTTTTCTCTATCGCTATTAATTATTGAGCTATGATTAACTTTNAGTATTCTTCCCCATCATCTTTAGTTCTTGAGTTATGATCGATTTTAGTAACAAAAAGCGACAACTTTAACATTTTAGAGATTTCCACGTTCTAACTTAATTATGGTTATAACTACACTGAATCTGGTTATGGATTATGTCTTTTTGGTTCATTGTAGACTATTTATTTTCAAAATATCCTTCTCCATCATCTTTAGTTCTCGAATTATGATCGATTTCAGTAACGAAAAGCAACAACTTTAATATTTTGAAGATTTCCACGTTCTAACTAGATTATGGCTATAACTACACTGAGTCTGGTTATGTCTTATGTCGTTTTGCTTCATGATGAACTATTTATCCCCAAAGTATTCTTCTCCATCATCTTTAGTTCTTGAGCTATGATATATTTCAGTAACGAAAAGCGACAACTTTAACATTATGGGGATTTCCTCTTCCTAACTACATTATGTCTATAACTACACTGAATCCAGTTATGGATTATGTATTTTTGGTTCATTCTGAACTACTTATTTCTAAAGCATTCTTCTCCATCACCTTGAGTTCTTGAGTTATTATCGAGTTCAGCAACGAAAAGCGACAACTTTAACATTTTCAAGATTTCCACGTTCTAACTAGATTATGGTTATAACCACACTGAATCTGGTTATGGATTATGTCTTTTTGGTTCATGATTAACTATTTATCTCCAAAGTATCCTTTTCCATCATTTTTAGTTCTTAAGTTATGATCGATTTCATTAACGAAAAGCAGCAACGTTATAATTTTGGGGATTTCCTCTTCCTAACGAGATTATGGCTATAACTACACTGAATCCGGTTATGGATTATGTTTTTTTGGTTCATTGTGAACTACTTATTTCTAAAGCATTCTTCTCCATCACCTTTAGTTCTTGAGTTATGATCGATTTCAGCAACGAAAAGCGACAACTTTAACATTTTCAAGATTTCCATGTTCTAACTAGATTATGGTTATAACTACACTGAATCTGATTATGGATTATGTATTTTTGGTTCATTCTGAACTATTTATCTCCAAAGCATTCTTCTCCATCATCTTTAGTTCTTAAGTTATGATCAAGTTCAGTAATAAAAAGCGACATCTTTAACATTTTGGTGATTTCCACGTTCTAACTAGATTATGGTTATAACTACACCGAATCTGGTCATGGATTATATCTTTTTGGTTCGTTACAAACAATTTTTGTCTAAAATATTTTTCTCTATCGCTACTAATTATTGAGCTATGATTAACTTTAAATAAAGAAATATTAAAACGTGTTATTTTAGCGATTTCTCCTTATTAATTACAATATGATTATATCTGCGCTAAATCTAGCTATGAATTATAAATTTTGTATTCATTATGAACAATTTATTTTCAAAGAATTCTTCTCCATCATCTTTAGTTTTTGAGTTATGCTCGATTTTAGTACTAGATTAATATTATTATGGACAATTTCTTTCTAAAAATTTGTCTCTATCGCTTCTAGTTCTTGAGATATAATCGATTTTAACAACGAAAATGTTAAATTTTGATATTTTAGAGTGATCTAATCGAAGCTTTATAAAATCTCAAACTAATCTTATTAATTTAATACAATCTTGTTATTTTTAGACGAACCAGTAACCTTCAAATTAAAATACCAAGCAGCCAAAAATTACCCTTTAGATTTATATTATTTGATGGATTTAACTTATAGCATGAAAGATGACCTTGAAGCAATGATATCATTAGGTTCTACAATCGGTAGTGAGACAAAAATGTTAACGAACAAATACAAAATAGGTTTCGGATATTATTCCGATAAAGTCGCAATGCCTTTTGCTATGATGGATAAAAAATCTATGGAAAATCCTTGCTCGGGGTTAAGACAACAATGCGCGAAAGGATTCGATTTTATTCACGCCTTAAATTTCACTGAAAACGTAAACGATTTTATTCAAAAATTAAAAGAAAGTGAAGTTACAGCTAATGTTGATGATTTAGAGGGGGGTATTGATGCGATTATGCAAATTATAACTTGCCAAAATTATATGCGTTGGAGAAAATTCTCGAGAAAAATCGTTGTTGTTGCAACTGGAGGATTCATGCATTTTGCAGGGGATGGTGTTTTATCTGGAAGTATTCAAAAAAATCCTGGTGTGTGTATGTTAGATGAAAATGGAGCTTATAACTCATTAATTTATGATTACCCATCGTTGGAGGAGATTCATAAAAAATTACAAGAAGAAAAGGTAATTTTTAATCAATAAATAATAATTTAAACTCAAAAAAAAATTTTTAGGTTAATCTTTTATTCGCAGCTAAAAAAGAAGCTTACAATTACTACGAAAAATTTCACAACACAATTCCAGACGTCTCAACAATCGGAAAATTAGAAGAAAAATCAACGAACATCATGAAACTAATCAAAGACAGTTACCAAAAAGTCGTTCAAACCGTTAAATTCGAAGCTAACGTTACAGATAACGTTAAAATAACTTTCGAAACGACATGCAAACCAACGGGAAAGAAAAGAGAAAGCAATCAGTGCAAAAACGTTAAAATTGGTGAGAAATATATCTTCGACGTCACCTTAGAGCTTATTAAACTACCAGAAAATCATAAAACTAAAGATACTTTTGTGATCGAAGAAATGAATTTGTTTGAATACACAAAAATTAATGTTAACTATATCGGAGTTGAATGTAATTGCATGGAATCGGGGGTGCAATCGTGTAAACATGGTGCTTTTAAATGTGGAATTTGCAATTGTAAAGATGGATGGTAAATTTAAATTATATTTAAAGAAAAAAATTTTATTAAAAATTATTATTATTTGATTATAACAAGAGATTTTGATAAAGAATATCTCATTCGAAAGCTTAATCCTTGGTCAAAACGAAAGTGCGAAATTATTGTGAAAGTAATCTAAAATAATACAAAAATTATCTTTTTTTTTAGGTGGTCATAAGTCCTAAACGGTATAGTCGATTCAAATTTCAATTCAATTGAAATCACAATTCAAATCCAAAGTTAATTAAGTGTTACTTTTTATTTGTAGAACGCAACTCCTTTGGAAAGGACTAGATACTGGTGGCAGAACTCTAAATAATGCCAACAAAAGACTAAATGTTGCTTGTAGTGAATTAAATACTGTTTGCAGAAAACTAGATGCTGTTTCTAAAAGACTATATTGCTTGCAGAAGATTAGATACTGCTCCAGAAAACTATATACTGGAGGCAAAACACTAGATAATGCTTCCAGAAGACTATAAACTGCTTGTAGAAGACTAGATATTGCTAGCAGAAACTAAATATTCCTAAAAAAATACCAGATACTGCTTGTAGAAGACTATATACTGCTTCCAGAAGACTAGATACTGCTTGCAGAAGACTATATATTGCTCCAGAAGACTATATACTGGTTGTAAAACACTAGATATTGCTTATAAACTGCTTGTAGAAGACTAAACATTGCTAGCAGAAACTAAATATTCCTAAAAGAAGACCAAATACTGCTTGTAGAAGACTAAATACTGCTTCCAGAAGACTATATACTGCTCCAGAAGACTATACTGCTTACAGAAGATTAGATACTGCTTGTAGAAAACTAGATACTGCTTCCAAAAGACTATAATGCTTCCAGAAGACTATATACTGGTTGTAAAATACTAGGTATTGCTTCCAGAAGACTATAAACTGCTTGTAGAAGACTAGATATAGTTAGCAGAAACTAAATATTCCTAAAAAAAGACCAGATACTACTTGTAGAAGACTATATACTGCTTCCAGAAGACTAAATCTTCCAAAACTGATGATTTTGTATTGATATATCAAATACAGCGCCTCGCCCGCAAGCGACCTCGGCGATGGCATTTGATATCATTTATTTGATATCTTGGAAAGTGAATAAAACGTACAACATTTGCATAGAAAATCGTTTATCCTCACTCCGCCGAGGTCGCTTGCGGGCGAAGCGCCGGAATACTTGAAAACTAACGATTTTGTATTAATATATGAAACCCAGCGCCTCGCCCGCAAGCGACCTCGGCGATTTGAGGCGAAATCGTTTCTTGCATATCTTGGTAAGAATACAAAATCTACTATATGAGGACATTTATCGTAAAACCGCCGAAGTGGCATACTATACTGCTTGTAAAAGACTAGATATTGTTTGTAGAGGACTATAAACTGCTTCCAGAAGACTATATACGGCTCGATAAGATGATATACTGCTCCAGAAGACTATAATGCTTGCAGAAGATTAGATACTGCTTGTAGAAGACTAGATACTGCTTCCAGAAAACTATATACTGGTTGTAAAGCACTAGATATNGCGAAATCGATCCTTGCATATCTTGGTAAGGATACAAAGTCTACTATATGAGGACATTTATCCTCAAACCGCCGAGGTTACATACTATACTGCTTGTAAAAGACAGGATATTGCTTGTAGACGATTATATACTGCTTCCAGAAGACTATATAGTGCTCCATAAGACTATATACTGCTCCAGAAGACTATACTGCTTGCAGAAGATTAGATACTGCTTGTAGAAGACTAAATACTGCTTCCAGAAGACTATATTGCTTGCAAAAACTAAATATTGCTTCTAGAATATCTATATACTATTTCCAGAAAACTGGATACTCCTTCCAGAAGACTAAATCTTCCAAAACTGACGATTTTATATTGATATATCAAATACAGCGCCTCGCCCACAAGCGACCTCGGCGATGTTAGTTGATATCATTTATTTGATATCTTGGAAAGTGAACAAAACCTACAACACTTGCATAGGAAATCGTTTATCCACACTCCGCCGAGGTTACTTGCGGGCGAGGCGCCGGAATACTTGAAAACTAACGATTTTGTATTAACCACTTAAGCATCTTGAACGAGACCCTCTCGCGCATCAAATGCGTTCCGATTTGCGCTATCCCGAGAAAAACCATCGCATTAAGTGATTAATATATGAAACCCAGTGCCTCGCCCGCAAGCGACCTCGGCGATTTGAGGCGAAATCGTTCCTTGCACATCTTGGTAAGGATACAAAGTCTACTATATGAGGACATTTATCCTCAGACCGCCGAGGTTGCATACTATACTGCTTGTAAAAAACTGGATATTGCTTGTAGAGGATTATATACTGCTTCCAGAAGATTATATAGTGCTCCATAAGACTATATAGTGCTCCATAAGACTATATACTGCTCCAGAAGACTATACTGCTTGCAGAAGATTAGATAGTGCTGGTAGAAGACTAGATACTGCTTTCAAAAGACTATACTGCTTCCAGAAGACCATATACTGGTTGTAAAATACTAGATATTGCTTCCAGGAGACTATAAACTGCTTGTAGAAGACTAGATATTGGTAGCAGAAACTAAATATTCCTAAAAGAAGACCAGATACTGCTTGCAGAAGACTAGATACTGCATCCAGAAGACTATATTGCTTGTAAAAAACTAGATATTGCTTCTAGAAGACTATATACTGCTTCCAGAAGACTGTATACTGCTTCCAGAAGACTAAATCTTGACCTTAGCGATGTTAATTGATATTATTTATTTGATATCTTGGAAAGTGAACAAAACATACAACATTTGCATAGCTGGTTGTAAAACACTAGATATTGCTTCCAGGAAACTATAAACTACTTGTAGAAGAATATATAATGCTCCATAAGATTATACTGCTTGTAGAAGATTAGATACTGTTTGTAAAAGACTGGATACTGCTTCTAAAAGATTAAATTGCTTCCAGAAGGCTATATACTGGTTGTAAAGCACTAGATATTGCTTCCAGAAGACTATAAACTGCTTTTAAAAGACTAGATATTACTAGCAGAAACTAAATATTAATAAAAGAAGACCAAATACTGCTTGTAGAAGACTAGATACTGCTTCTAGAAGACTATATTGCTTGCAAGAAAGTAGATATTGCTTCTAGAAGACTATATACCGCTTCCAGAAGACTGGATACTGATTCCAGAAGACTAAATCTTCCAAAACTGACGATTTTGTATTGATATATCAAAAACAGCGCCTCGCCCGCAAGCGACCTCGACGATGTTAGTTGATGTCATTTATTTGATTTCTTGGAAAGTGAACAAAACGTACATTTGTATAGGAAATCGTTTATCCACACTCCGCCGAGGTCGCTTGCGGGCGAGGCTCTGGAATACTTGAAAACTAACGATTTTGTATTAATATATGAAACCCAGCGCCTCGCCCGCAAGCAACCTCGGCGATTTGAGGCGAAATCGTTCCTTGTATATCTTGATAAGGACACAAAATCTAGTATATGAGGACATTTATCCTCAAACCGTCGAGAACTGCATACTATAATACTTGTAAAAGACTAGATACGGCTTGTAAAAGACTAGATATTGCTTGTAGAGGACTATATATTGCTTCCAGAAGACTAGATACTGCTTCCAGAGGACTATATACTACTCCAGAAGACTATACAGCTTGCAGAAGATTAGATACTGCTTGTAGAAGACTAGATACTGCTTCCAAAAGACTATACTGCTTCCCGAAGACTTTATACTGGTTGTAAAACACTAGACATTGCTTCCAGAAGACTATAAACTGCTTGTAGAAAACTAGATATTGCTAGCAGAAATTAAATATTCCTAAAAAAAAGGCTATAAACTGCTTGTAGAAGACTAGATACTGCTTCCAGAGGACTATATTGCTTGCAAAAAACTAGATATTGCTTCTAGAAAATTATATACTGCTTTCAGAAGACTTGATACTGCTACCAGAACACAAAATCGTTCCTTGCATATCTTGGTAAGGCTACAAAATTTATTATATGAGGACATTTATTCTCAAACCGCCGATGTTGCATACTATATTGCTTGTAAAAGACCAGATATTCCTTGTAGAGGACTATATACTGCTCCAGAAGACTATACTACTTGCAGAGGATTAGATACTGCTTGTAGAAGACTAGATATTGCTTGTAGAGGACTATATACTGCTTCCAGAAGACTGGATTTGGATTCAGCCCGATCCCCTCAAAATACAGAAAGATGAAGATTAAATAAAATCGTGGTTTTACATCTTGTTGTTGGTATAGCACGGGATTCGGAACGTTTTAGAAAAAAAGTTTTAGTATAAAAGTTGTAGCAAACTTTATTCTTAACAAAATTGGTCTTATACATTTTTGCCCTCAGATGCATAAATATCGAGAAAAAATTGAATATGTGAAAATTAGATGAAATCGTGATTTTACATCTTGTTTATTGGTATAGCATGGAATTCAAAAGTTTTAAAAAAAAGTTTTTGTGTAAAAATTAATTAAGCTTTCGATTGAGATATTATTCATAAAAATTGATTTGTTATAATCAAAATACTATACAGATAAAATCTTATCTAATTGGGGCTAACTTCCAATAGATTATTTTTTATTTTATTTTATTTTTAGGACAGGACGTGATTGTAGTATTGAGTGCATGAAAGAACACGCTTGCAGGTTTTCCAATGAGACTTACACTTCATCAACTTGTTTTGGAAAGTAATTATTTTGATTTAACCCAATTTATTTTATTACAACGTTTTAATTTTTGTTTTAGAGGAGATTGTGATTTATCTACATGTAGTTGTCAATGTGATAGGCGCTACACGGGACAATTTTGCGAATTCAATCAATGTCCAAGGTGAAAATAAAAATCAACATGTACTAATTAAATTAATAATTGTTTTAATAGAAATCGTAGAACTGGGGAAATTTGTACGAGCGAAAAACACGGAACTTGCGACCGGGGAACATGCGTTTGTAACGAAAATTACAACGGTACAGACTGTTCGTGTTACATGAAGAACGACACGTGTTTAGCACCTGGACAAAATAAACTGTGTAACGGAGCCGGACAATGCGTCTGTGGAAAATGCGAATGCCAAGAAGGACATTCTGGCCAATTCTGCGAATATTGCCCAGAATGCGATGCGATCTGCTCCAGTTTTGAGCAATGCGTAATCGGCGTTTCTCTTAATAACACCGTCGATAATTGCATCCGAAATGGGACTAAATATGAAACTAAAAAGAACGATTTAGCCGAAGGTAAAAATAAAAAAATCATCTTCATTAATTTCTTTTTTAACAATTTTTTTTAATCAGATTTATGCCTAGCAAGATACATTAATGAAAAAGGCGAAACTTGCGATGTACAATATTCGTATGCATACGAAGCAAAAAATGTTATTTTAGAATATCGAAACGCACTTTGTTCACGGCCTTTAACAGCTACCTCAACGGGGATTCTAATCTTTTCTGCGATCTTAGCGGTGGGGTTAGCAACAATCATCATCGTTAAAGTTAAAAATTCCATTCAAGATAAAAGGGAACTTGCCAAACATGAAAAAGAGGTGCTTCTATTTCGAAGTAAACGGGAAGATAATCCACTTTATCATTCTCCAATAACACAACACGTTAATCCGCTTCGACAGCTAGAAGAGGACTCTTATATGTAGATGTTATTAATTAAAAATAAACTATGCTTTATATTGAAACTAAAATATAATGATATAGGATATGATTTGTAATCTTATTTAAATAAAACACGAGCTTTAAAAATTCTTCCCTAACTAATTTCTTATGTATGTGAACATCGTTTCTTAACTCTAAGAAATAAAGGAGAAGTGATTTTTTTAAATTGACATCAATTTAAATGGTTTGCAACCTAACCTCAATGCACAATTTTTTTCAAGATTATTTTTCTCCAAAGTTTCATTATTAACATATAGGATATGTTACACCATCTTATAGAGGACATTTCAAACTTTAATTTAACATATAAATCACTTCTTTACGTCCAGAAATAAACCGGAAGTGATTTTTTAAAATATACATCGTAAAAACGTCATCCATCCAAACTTTTTCAACAACACAATTTTAAAAAATTCTTTTCTAACAAATTATTTACTTCACAATAAATTATCATACATCGTTTTAAAGAGAACATTTTAAGCTTTCATACAAGATATAACTCGTTTCTTAACTCCAAGAAATAAAGGAGAAGTGATTTTTTTAAATTGACATCAATTTAAATGGTTTTCAACCTAACCTCAATGCACAATTTTTTTCAAGATTATTTTTCTCCAAAGTTTCATTATTAACATATATGTAATGTTACACCATCTTGTAGAGGACATTTCAAACTTTAATTTAACATATAAATCACTTCTTTACGTCCAGAAATAAACAGGAAGTGATTTTTTAAAATTTATATCGTAAAAACGTCATCCAACCAATCATTTTCAACAACACGATTTTTAAAAATTCTTTTCTAACAAATTATTTACTTCACAATAAGTTATCATACATCGTTTTAAAGAGAACATTTTAAGCTATCATATAAGATATAACTCGTTTCTTAACTCCACGAAATAAAGGAAAAGTCATTATTTAAAAATTGACATCAATAGAAATGGTTTTTAACCTAACCTCAATGCACAATTTTTTTCAAGATTCTTTTTCTCCAAAGTTTTATTATTAACATATAGGTTATGTTACACCATCTTGTAGAGGACATTTCAAACTTTAATTTAACATATAAATCACTACTTTACGTCCAAAAATAAACCGGAAGTGATTTTTTAAAATTTACATCGTAAAAACGTCATCCAACCAATCATTTTCAACAACACAATTTTTAAAAATTCTTTTCTAACAAATTATTTACTTCACAATAAGTTATCATACATCGTTTTAAAGAGAACATTTTAAGCTTTCATACAAGATATAACTCGTTTCTTAACTCCACGAAATAAAGGAAAAGTGATTATTTAAAAATTGACATCAATAGAAATGGTTTTTAACCTAACCTCAATGCACAATTTTTTTCAAGATTATTTTTCTCCAAAGTTTCATTATTGACATATAGGTTATGTTACACCATCTTCTAGAGGACATTTCAAACTTTAATTTAACATATAAATCACTTCTTTACGTCCAGAAATAAACCGGAAGTGATTTTTTAAAGTTTACATCGTAAAAACATCATCCAACCAAACTTTTCAACAACACGATTTTTAAAAATTCTTTTCTAACAAATTATTTACTTCACAATAAGTTATCATACATCGTTATAAAGAGAACATTTTAAACTGTCATACAAGATATAACTCGCTTCTTAACTCCAAAAAATAAAGGAGAAGTGATTTTTTTTAAATTGACATCAATTTAAATGGTTTTCAACCTAANTCTTATATGTAAATGTTATTAATTAAAAATAAACTATGCTTTATATTGAAACTAAAATATAATGATATAGGATATGATTTGTAATCTTATTTAAATAAAACACGAGCTTTAAAAATTCTTCCCTAACTAATTTCTTATGTATGTGAACATCGTTTTAAAGAGAACATTTTAAGCTATCATATAGATATAATTCGTTTCTTAACTCAAAGAAATAAAGAAGTGATTTTTTTAAAATTGACATCAATTTAAATGGTTTTCAACCTAATCTAAATGCACAATTTTCTTGGACTACTTTACGTCCAAAAATAAACCGGAAGTGATTTTTTAAAATTTACATCGTAAAAACGTCATCCAATCAAACTTTTTCAACAACACGATTTTTAAAAATTCTTTTCTAACAAATTATTTACTTCACAATAAGTTATCATACATATTTTTAAAGAGAACATTTTAAACTATCATACAAGATATAACTCGCTTCTTAACTCCAACAAATAAAGGAGAAATGATTTTTTTAAATTGACATCAAATTAAATGGTTTTCAACCTAACCTCAATGCACAATTTTCTTGAAGATTATTTTTCTCCAAAGTTTCATTATTAACATATAGGATATGTTACACCATCTTATAGAGGACATTTTAAACTTTAATTTAACATATAAATCACTTCTTTACGTCCAGAAATAAACCGGAATTGATTTTTTAAAATTTACTTCGTAAAAACGTCATCCAAACAAACTTTTTCAACAACACGATTTTTAAAAATTCCTTTCTAACAAATTATTTACTTTACAATAAGTTATCATACATCGTTTTAAAGAGAACATTTTAAGCTTTCATACAAGATATAACTCGTTTCTTAACTCCTAGAAATGAAGGAGAAGTGATTTTTTTTAAATTGACATCAATTTAGATGGTTTTCAACCTAACCTCAATGCACAATTTTTTTCAAGATTATTTTTCTCCAAAGTTTCATTATTAACATATAGGTTATGTTACACCATCTTGTAGAGGACATTTCAAACTTTAATTTAACATATAAATCACTTATTTACGCCCAGAAATAAACCGGAAGTGATTTTTTAAAATATACATCGTAAAAACGTCATCCATCCAAACTTTTTCAACAACACAATTTTAAAAAATTCTTCTCTAACAAATTATTTACTTCACAATAAATTATTATACATCGTTTTAAAGAGAACATTTTAAACTATCATAACTCGCTTTTTAACTCCAACAAATAAAGGAGATATGATTTTTTTAAATTGACATCAAATTAAATGGTTTTCAACCTAACCTCAATGCACAATTTTCTTGAAGATTATTTTTCTCCAAAGTTTCATTATTAACATATAGGTTATGTTACACCATCTTGTAGAGGACATTTCAAACTTTATTTTAACATATAAATCATTTCTTCACGTCCAGAAATAAACCGGAAGTGATTTTTTAAAATTTACATCGTAAAAACGTCATCCAATCAAACTTTTGCAACAACACGATTTTTAAAAATTCTTTTCTAACAAATTATTTACTGCACAATAAGTTGTCATACATCGTTTTAAAGAGAACATTTTAAGCTATCATATAAGATATAACTCGTTTCTTAACTCCAACAAATAAAGGAGAAATGATTTTTTTAAATTGACATCAAATTAAATGGTTTTCAACCTAACCTCAATGCACAATTTTCTTCAAGATTCTTTTTCTCCAAAGTTTCATTATTAACATATAGGTAATGTTACACCATTTTGGAGAGGACATTTCAAACTTTAATTTAACATATAAATCACTTCTTCATGTCCAGAAATAAACCGGAAGTGATTTTTTAAAATTTACATCGTAAAAACGTCATCCAACAAACTTTTTCAACAACACGATTTTTAAAAATTCCTTTCTAACAAATTATTTACTTTACAATAAGTTATCATACATCGTTTTAAACAGACCATTTTAAGCTATCATATAAGATATAACTCATTTCTTAACTCCACGAAATAAAGGAAAAGTGATTATTTAAAAATTGACATCAATAGAAATGGTTTTTAACCTAACCTCAATGCACAATTTTTTTCAAGATTATTTTTCTCCAAAGTTTCATTATTAACATATAGGATATGTTACACCATCTTGTAGAGGACATTTCAAACTTTAATTTAATATATAAATCACTACTTTACGTCCAAAAATAAAGCGGAAGTGATTTTTTAAAGTTTACATCGTAAAAACGTCATCCAAACAAACTTTTTCAACAACACGATTTTAAAAAATTCTTTTCTAACAAATTATTTACTTCACAATAAATTATCATACATCGTTTTAAAGAGAACATTTTAAACTTTCATACAAGATATAACTCGTTTCTTAACTCCAAGAAATAAAGGAGAAGTGATTTTTTTAAATTGACATCAATTTAAATGGTTTTCAACCTAACCTCAATGCACAATTTTTTTCAAGATTATTTTTCTCCAAAGTTTCATTATTAATATATAGGTTATGTTACACCATCTTGTAGAGGACATTTCAAACTTTAATCTAATATATAAATCACTACTTTATGTCCAAAAATAAACCGGAAGTGATTTTTTAAAATTTACATTGTAAAAACGTCATCCAATCAAACTTTTTCAACAACACGATTTTAAAAAATTCTTTTCTATCAAATTATTTCCTTCACAATAAGTTATCATACATCGTTTTAAAGAGAACATTTTAAACTGTCATACAAGATATAACTCGCTTCTTAACTCCAAGAAATAAAGGAGAAGTGATTTTTTTAAATTGACATCAATTTAAATGGTTTGCAACCTAACCTAAATGCACAATTTCTTCAAAATTCTTTTTCTCCAAAGTTTCATTATTAACATATAGGATATGTTACACCATCTTATAGAGGACATTTCAAACTTTAATTTAACATATAAATCACTTCCTTACGTTCAGAAATAAACCGGAAGTGATTTTTTAAAATTTACATCGTAAAAACGTCATCCAATCAAACTTTTTCAACAACACAATTTTTAAAAATTCTTTTCTCATAAATTATTTACTTCACAATAAATTATCATACATCGTTTTAAAGAGAACATTTTAAGCTATCATATAAGATATAAATCGTTTCTTAACTCCAAAAAATAAAGGAGAAGTGATGTTTTAAAATTGACATCAATAAAAACGATTTTTAACCTAAGAATTTTTTTCAAAATTATATTTCTCCTAAGCTTCATTATTAACATATAGATTATATTACACCATCTTGTAGAGGATATTTCAAACTTTAATTTATTATATAAATCATTTCTTTAAATCCTGAAATAAACCGGAAGTAA